TTTACACTAATCACTCATTTATGAAATTGTTTAGCTATTCTAATGCTAATGCACAAAGTAATTTAAGGCACATTCATCAAGCACTCACCTGCTCGCATAAACACATATGTACATCCAATCATGCGCATATACATAAGTGCATACCCACATATGTACATACATATATACGCGTCTCTGACATAATCTACACTTAATGAATTTCAATTGTTCTAAAATAATTTCGTCAGCGCCAGCGTGCTGAGAGAATAAATATATATATATATGTAGCTGGTAAACATACAAAACATTTGAAATATGCAATCAATAATCCCCAGAGATTACCTGGTCAACTCGTGATTATGACGTCAAACGTAAGCGCCAACGAAAGCGATCATATGCTTTGCTATTTCACTGACGGCACACGCTTACACAATATGCAGATAAAAGCTGCTGCTGAGATGGATGGCCAGTCACACCTCCAAATAAGCCAATGTGACGGCATGGAAACTGAAATATATAAAAATATATAAGCAGAAAAATTAAGTCAGAAATCGCAAGCAATCACTAAAGCTAGCACAAGATAGATATGTATGTATAAAACACTTTAGCGGACATAAAAAATATGTATCATTAATTGTTGCTGTTGCTGCTGCTGTTTGAGGACATTTGTCTAAAAATAACTAATATAAAAGTATATTTGTTTGTACATACATATGTCTGTATGTATCATCGGGAAAAATTATTAGACAAAAATTTAAACATACACATGTAAAGAAAATGTGACTCGCTGCTTATTTAGAGTAGCCAATGTGGCCCACTCATGCGAATGAGAGCGGCTGATTTTGGCATTCATGAGTGAGGATGTGTCGAGTGAAAAGGCATAGCAACCGCCGCTAGTCTATAGCTAGCTCTTGACATCTGCTAATGACGTCATGCGATAAACTAAATTAATTTCATGTTTTTTTTTTTTGTTTATTGAATTGAGGAAAATATGTATGATCACACACCTACGCAAGTAAATACCAGAGCATATTTTATTCAAATTCATGCATATTAATATATGTATGCTGGTGAACAGCACTGAGTTGATGATATATACCCACCTGAATACACAGAAATATGTGCTTACATATAAGTATGAAAGCATTTAAAATAATACTATACAGATCTGTGATTTTCAGTGCTTCTACGCCTCACCATTGACACTTTCAATATGCCGGAAAAGTCAGTGCCCATATTTCCGTTTCATTGTTGTCCAGCGCGTATGCGTCTAGGTCTGAGTGGCTGGGTAATTGACCTTTGCGTTAATGGCACTGACAGTGGCTGTAATTAAAATTAAAAAAATTTATGAAGCTTTTTGATATAACCATAGTGAAAGCTTAAGAAAAAATTATGATCTCATAAGCAGACTGTTTTATGGCATTTGCAGGAAAAATCTTTTCTGTAAAACATATGAGCAGAGTAATAAATTCATAAATACGTGTCGCGTATTTTTTTTTTCAGATGGAACAAAAAAATCTGACAGTTAAAGCTGCCAATGGAATTTTTCCGCATTCAAAGGCGCACATCGTTCACACAAAGACAATCAGCTGTGCCCCTTTAAGCAAGCAGCTGTGAAATGTGCAATGCGCAGATAAGTGATGAAAGTGAACGCTGCTCACTGAGCTAGCAGCACAAATCACTCACAGCTAAAGACTCAGATTGACTGCTGTTTTCAGTGGGCAGCAATTAAATATTCAATTCAGCTTCACACAAAAAAAATAAGCAATCAACAGCGTTACTAAGTTCCTCATTATTACTTTTTTGATATGCAAATATATGTACATATGTACGATAATACATACATACATATGAATGTAGACCAAATGCTTTACCAGCGTCCTGAAGAAACAAATTACACGCACATGCTGTGCTGTTAATGACCCTGCATATATGTAAAAATATCACAAGATTCTGGAAGTCATTAAAAAAGGCGTAAATTAGCACGCAAAAAATAACTTTGTTACTATAGTACTATATACTATTGTACTATAATTACCTGCCTGCCATACATATACTGGGTAGCTAAGAGACAGCAAGCAGAGACTGCTAATAAATTTATAAAACCATACATACATAGCTAGAAATCTTAAAGAACAAAAGCTGTGTGATTATTAATAATCAACTCTTGTCGTAAGAAGCCAAAAAAAAATGCTTTCGAAAATATACAAGTAGTGAGTCCAGTCCATGGCCGCAGATTGAAAAATACTATGATGCTATAAAGGCCAAGTGGATGAGTGAGCGTTTGGTATGTGTGTGCGTGTGTGTGTGTGTGTGTGTGTATTTTTGTAACATCGATATCGCCGTGATTTAAGGCACGTAGCAGAAAGACTAAAATAATATGCATATATCGAGCATTCCACGAAAAAAGGTATATTTTCGTCGCCAAATTAATAACTTCTCCGAACGAATTTTTCAACGCAAATGTACTTTAAATATAAAATTAGCACATAAATCGATTTTTTACTTTAAATATATTTTAAACACATAAATAAGCAGAGAAATCGATCGGAATATTTGAGTTTCACGAATTATCAGTGAACACATCATCAATTATTTATAAAAGTGGCGAAAATCTTAATTTATAAAACTTATTTAAACTTGTTTGAAATAAATCTATTCTTGAAACTTTTGTTTTTGATTTAGCATTGATGTTAGTGCTACTAAACGATTTTTTTTTTTTTTTTTTAATTATCATTAATATCGCTGAAATTTTCCATAACACTAGACAGGCGAATAGTTTTGGATTTTTTGTGCATACCCTAATATTTCAAACAAACAAAGTTTTTGTTTTCGGTTATTACTTTGCCATAAAAAATAATGTACTACTAAATACTTTGTTTTATAATTTTTTTACTTTGCCTTTAATTACAAGCGTAAAGTGAGATAAGTCGTACGATTTCTCCCGTACCAACGATGGAATGCTCCATATGCAGATCAAAAGAAAATGCTAAAAAATAAGAGCCACAAACAAAAACATAATCAAAATTTTAATGATACCGACATGTGTATGTATGTAAGTACACATAAATTCCCCGAAAAAAATTGTGCGACGAACCTCTAAAAAAAGGCTTTCTGAATCAGCCACTATGCTCTGCTAACTCTCTCTCCTACAGTTCTCCGCCTTACTAACTGAGAAAATGTACACCCGCGATTTTGTGTATTTATTTTTGAATGCCTCAATGGCAGCAAAAGTTTCCGACTGAAAAACGCTTGCGTGGCCTGCTGTCCTCCAAGCACCTAAGTCTTTATCCAAATATAGTCAATGCAGCTTGAAAATTTGGTGCGGTATTTGCGGTTGGTCCACGCTCTTGTGTATAATGCAAAGATAGGTATGAATTAATGGAAGTTATGTCGCATTTAGATTGTTCTTTTCTGAAAAGTAAGAAATTGCGGCGAGATAAAATTGAAAAAATCTAGAATTTTATTGATTTATGCATTCATAAAAGAAGGTAAGCTTGCCTACATATATACATATACTTTTATATGTATACAAATGTTTACGCAAATATTTCAGATGACAAGCGAATAAAATTAGTGGGAATCTATTTTTTGGTTAAAATTCTAATTTCTTCGCACATGTCGCACAAGTTCTTCAGCAGTATATTAACTCAAATTTTAGATATAACTTATATTTGTAGTATATACTTATGTATGTTGGCAGATATGAAAGATTACAAGAAATTTTTTTGTATTCTATGACAAATGGAAAACTTTTAATTAAAACCACACTTTTAATAACCTAGGTATTTGGAACCTTTTTTAAACGTATGTAGGTATTATGAAAAGCATGTACCATTAAAAATATTAAAATATATAAATATATATAAATATATAATAATTAAACGAAAAACGACTTATTATGGCATTAATGTGGAAGAGTATAAATAAGTGATAAGAACCTTAGTATGTGTATATCAGCTTTACACTTGTATATATCTCAACAAATAAAGTGGCGGTCAAAAGTGGATGAATGGTGTTTTGTTTTTAATTTCTACAATGTTTTTCGAGCTAAAATTTTTTGGAATTTTTTTATAAAAATGCCATTAAGGTTTAAATTACACTTCAAACTTTATACAGAATTTATAAAAATCCCAAAAATTTGTATCTGAAATCTAACCAGAACTTTTATAAATTTTTTGGGTTTATAAAAATTTTATAAAATAAGTGCAAGTTTTGAGTTGAGTTTTTCTTTTTTTTTTTGCTGACGACTTTTGCGCATTTTTTCATATAAATAGCGAAATTTAGGAAAACTGTCGTTGACTTTTTTTATTTTTTTCGCAAACGGTCTTGCGCATATTCTTCCACAAGAAATTCATATTTATATAGAAAAAAGTGCAAAACACTGTCAACAAACAAACAAATATTAAAATATCAATGCCATTATGTAGCCGCTCAAAACTTGCAATTATTTTACGAAAATTTTATAAGCCTGTTAACTGCCTACTCAACAAATTAAAAAAATTGCGGTTAAGAAACTCGAAATTTAGATACAAATTTTTGAAAATTTTTTTAATTCTGTATAAAGTTTGAAAATGTGATCTATGCGGTTTGGGTTAAAGCATTAACCATATTTTTATAAAAAAATATCATAAAAATGTTAGCTTGAAAAACATTGTAAATATTAAAACCGAAACACCATTCTTCTACTTTGGACCGCCACTGTAGATACTAGATAATATTAATGCATATTTCTACATACATATATAAATATTTTCTTTGCTTTGAGCACTTGCATTTTTTCAAACACTACGCTAAAAATACCAGATAATGTTGAAATATGTTGAAAATATGTTGTTATATCAGCACATAGCAATTAATTGTTTTGCGCACCATTACGCACCAGTTAGTGAATTTTTATTCTAATTTATATTTATTTAAAAAAATTTACAAGTATTAAGCACTTAATCTATGTACATATGTGTTCAAAATTGCTATTATTTAGTTAATATAAAATTTCCCATTTTCCAATTTTCTTACAGCCATGGCGAGGATCTTATTGTAACACCATTTGCCCAAATTTTGGCCAGCTTACGCTCAGTGCGCAATAATCTTTTAAGTCTGACAAATGTGCAAGCATCTAATAAGTAAGTATGCGTGCAACTAAAAGCACACAACACACACATACCATTTGTTTACCTTCTTTGGTGCATAAATGTTTTAACATTTTCTAACAAAGTTTAATATTATGAAGTGTTTTTTTTTTACTAATCCCCTGTGTTATCTTCCTAATAATGCTAATATTACATTTTGCAAAATATTTGAAGAATTTGATTTTCATATAACTTCACTCACATTTAAACTGAACTGATTAAAATGTGTAATAACAAACAATTACAAAAATTTACTTATGTTCACAAAGTGAGGAATAGGGAAGTGTAGGTGTGTGCGACAGTGAAGCAAAAAACTAAAGAACAATTAGATGCCAAATAAAAAGAATTTATAGTAAACGAATGCTTGGAAGTGAAAACTATTTAGACATAAATTTTTGTCATTTAAAAACTGTTCTAAAATTTTTGTTTGAAACTTTAAAATTCAGATATATATATACATATATATTATGCCGATTAAATTAAATTATTTGTGCCATATCTATAGAGTCTTCGTTTTTCGCCGTAACCATAAAAAGTTCTGAAGTATTTGACAAACTGATGGCTACAGCTTTATGGCATGGCACCTCTTTTTAGGCTTTGAAAGACTAGAAATATGATTTTTTTTTAATTCCAACTTTCGCCAAAAAGTTCACGTTGTTTTTGGTGTAAATAACAAAAAATAAGTCCACTTTCAAGATGGCCAAAATTCATGTCCAGTTTTTGAACAACAAAGAAATTATTTCCAATTTTTAAACGACAAAATAGTCTGTCCATTTTTTAGATGGCTTATTTTAATCTTAACTAAATTATCATTCCCGGCGCTATTAGACAAATTTTTCAACAACACTTTATTCGTCTCTTTAAAAATCTCGTCTCGTAAAAATTATTTTAAAAAGTTAATCTGAATTTTACGCTCGAATCTATTCTGTCGAAGAAAATTTAAGCACAATTAAACTTTTTAAACGAATATTAACAGATTTGCTTCACTGCCAAAGCACACATCACACTTACTTAAGTCGCAATTACAACTGCATATTACCGACAGCTACATATGTAAATCTAATGTGTAACCCCCACTGCATACTCGTATAAATATTTTCGTAACAATTTTTCTAAATGTAACCCCACTTTTTGACGGTCGTCGTTTAACACATCCTCCCACTCTCGAATTGATTATTGTGTATTCCACTTGGGTCGAAATACTTTATTAGTATTTGTAACTAAAAAAATATACCCCATATTTCCGTATAAAATTTATAAAAGTATTAATGTTGTACACACCAAGATTTAAAAAAAAAAAACAAATATTTACCTAGTTTATTTGATATATACATTTTTTCTCTCTGTCTTTTTCTCTTTCTCTTCCTTTTTGAACCCTCCCGCATTTTGATGTCAACAAAAAAATATGTATTTTCATGCTATATGTACAAAAAAAAAAACATTGCAATCATTTATTCGAATATTTTTACGTATGTGTATCTATGAATCATTTGTAAATGTCTAAACGCGAAAATATTTTGGTAAAATCGAAAAACAAAAAAAAAAAATAACAAATATACAATTTGGAAAAACTCACTTTTATGTGAACAAAAACCAAAAATAAATTAAACGAAACGTTCAACAAAATAAAATTTTCTAAAAATAACTACAAATCACAAATGCCATACACTGCAACAACAACAATAAACGCGGACTTTACTATCAAAAACTTAAAAATCAACATGTAAATTGTCAACTTTCCAAAAAATGCCTCTGCTATTTGTTATTTGCTTTCACTACTAAATATTTAATCAACAACCTTTGCTACTAATTTTTACTCTCCACTAATTCTAAATTCCTGCCGCTTTTGATCGCAACAAAATGTGCTGATCAAAATTTTGAATTTCTGTAAATTTAAATTTATTCTTTTATGACTTTCGCTTTTTTGTTGCATTGCTGTTATTGTTGTTGTTGTTGCCATTGACTTTGCCATGCCATGTTTTGTGCTTGCTTTCTCCATTTTTCCGTACTATTTTTTATTTTTTTGTTATTATTTTATCCATACATTTTCCATGCGTCAATTTGTATGCACGTGCTTGTGCCTGGGTTTTTGTCTGCATGTGTGCTCGTGTGTGTGTGTGTGTGTATATCTTTGTCTGTGTGTGTGTGTCTCTTGTCTTTGGAACAAATAATTAATACGAAAAGATCCAGGCGCCCAACACAATCGTCCAGCGTGGGACGTGCAGCAGCCGCTGCCGGCGTTCAATTGGTTCAGGGCGATGAATCCTACACCCGCTTGGCCACAGACACAATCGAGGAGTTGGACTGGTGTTTGGATCAGCTGGAGACCATACAGACACATCGCAGTGTATCGGACATGGCATCGCTCAAGGTGAGTGGCAGCTGCGTTTAGTTTAAAAAAGAAAACTTAAAAAGAGGCGCGATTTAAATTTAATTGGTTTTTTTTTTTTAATTGTATTCTTTAGTACAAATGGATACATATATTATTTCAACTAAAAAAGTAAAGGAAAATTGATTTTGTTCTTCTCATTTCCGCATATGAAAAAAATAATTTGTTTATTTTTTCCGGCAACTTTTTAAGCAACCAAATAGACAATACATCAACTAATCACCGCACCAAACATGCCATCGCCTCTAATAATCCTCACTTCTTCTTTTTCCCCCACCCACAGTTCAAGCGTATGCTCAATAAAGAATTATCACACTTCAGCGAGTCGAGCAGATCTGGCAATCAAATATCAGAATATATTTGTTCAACATTTTTGGGTAAGTACCCAATTCGAATGCAAAACTTTTTTAGCTTGAAAGTTTTTATATTCCTCGCATAAGCGTTAGAAAAAATAAAGAAATATTTTTGGTTATAAAATCAAAGCATTTCCGGTACATCACGAAATTTCTATGTTTATTATGCTATGTTAGAGCTAAACATAAAAACCTAAAGTTGATTGCTAAACATCAAAAGTTATGCTAAAGGGCTTAATGTGTGTGTATGTATATACATATGTAAATACACAGAAGGTTTGAACGCTTTCGGGTGCTTAATAGAGGCATCAGTTTTTATGAGAGCGAACTTTTAACTGCTTCAACGTGCATACATATATACACTGGCTCAGAGCCAAAATGAAGGACGCCAAAAAATTTTTTTTGTCAATCTTCACAAAATTGTTCATGTAAAATTATTTTCGATATTTTTCTTTAAAAATATGTTTCATATTACAACAAAAACCACAAAAATCAAAATGCCAAACTTTGTACAAAAACTAGAAAAATTCAGCAAAATTACCATTAATTTTCATGAAAATTTACAACCTTTTGATCGGTTTTTTTAGAAATAGTTCGGGTATGCAGTTTTATAGCCCACTAAAGTTTACAAATTACCGCTGATTTTTGACAACAAATCGGATTTAAAAGTTGAAAGAAGTTTCAATTCAAAATTAATGGAAATTTTTATAAATTTTCTTAGTTTTTGTGCAAAATTGGAATTTTGGGTTTATGGTTTCAGTTGTAATACATATAAACTATATTTTTTATAGGAAAAAAAGAAAAAAAAATATTTAGAATGAAAACCTTTGTGAATATTAACAAAACATAAATTTTTTTGGGGTGCATCATTTTGACTGGGAGCCACTCTAAAGTACAGGAGTATATTTTTTTGCGTCTTCAAGTCGAATCAAGAACAAGAAAATCGGTAATTGGAATTAATTTGAAGTAGATGAGGAGTTCCGGAGAAAGATACGTACACCAAGCCTTCCACCACTGTTTAAAGCTTCAACCCGTTCTTGAAAAAGTTCATTTGTTCTGTTTCCACCTGTTTCCCCTCACCTACGTACTTACAGCTTTCAGCTACGTTGGCGATGTAGAAGTAGTGTTATCAGGCGCAAAGTCAGAGCTTCCAATAATATCTTCCACAGTACGTGCAGCAGCAACTTTTTGTTTGTATTACGTATGAAAATTCTTTTCAAATTATTTACAAGTGTGTTGCAATATCCTATGTGTACACACATATTTGCGCGCAGAAATCAAATGCCGACCGCATGTATGTAAAACGCGCCCACTCAAGTGCCCAATGCAGTGAACGCCACTGTTGGCGGTTGCGGCGCAATTCATAAACTGCATTTAGGAAAAAGAAAAATTAATCACAAATAACTAGGTACATGTGTATGTGTGTACGTACAAAATTTATATGGGATCTAAAGTGCCCACAAACCAACCACTCACGGTGATTTACTGGCGTGTTGCTAAAGCTTTAGTTACTCAATCATTGCAAACAATCCAAGAGGCAAAGTAAAAATAGCAATAAAAATGTAATAAAATCTCACTTAATTCTTTCGAGAGATTCAATTCTACTATACGCTTTGGCTTTCCGTGTTTTTTGTTCGCTTAATACATACAAACGTACACACATACATATGCACTAGTACTCATTTTTCATACTTTTCTGCAACGAGTTAAATTTTCTGCGCGCTATGAGTTATTTTTAATTTAAATTTTAAATTAAGTGCTAGTTGGTAAACGTGAACATACAAACGGTATACACTACGAGTATTCAAAGTCAGCAGCGTTCAAGCGTGCACTTGGCGAATGGACTAACTACTTGTGTACCGGTACATACATTTGTATATATGCAGTGACATGCCTGCGGAGGGCGAAACTAGGGGAGAATTATAAAAATTATGACATTGAGGTGTAGCTGAAGAAGTGTTGGAAAGATTTTTCAATATAGGCAAATATGGGCATCAATTTTTATATCTAAAATGAAAGTATATATGGGTCATTCCATCCAAAATTTACATAAAAAAAATTTTTTTCGTGCGAAACATTTTTTTTTTTTTGGGTTCTTTGAGGCAAAATATTAGACACGTATTTTTTTATTTCGACACAATATAAACAATTTTTGGATAAAAATAACTGATTAGAAATAGTTGCAAATTAAAAAAAAAAATCATTAGTACCTTTCGTTTATAAAAAATAGGTCGAAAAAACTCAACGTATTTCTCATTGGAAAGCTAAGAAAAAAAAACTTTAGGTCGGCTAGTCATTTTTTTTCTTCGTATACGCAAATGTTTAGAGGTATTTTATTCGAGCGTGAACATTTTGAAAATTCATAATTCCAAAATTTTTTATATTGTGTCGAAATAAAAAAAAAACGTTTCTAATATTTTGCCTCAAAGAACATAAAAAAATATTTCGCACGAAAAAAAATTTTGAATGGAATGGCCCATATTTATTAAAAATAAAATGTATGTTTCTTATTTATTACTCCCCCAAAATTTTACTCGGAATACGCCCCTGCTACTAGTCGCGCTTGTCTGCTAGTCAGCCTAGTGAGTACTGCCTTTACTATTCAGACGTTTAAATGAATTGGTGAATGTAAAAACTTGTATGTATGTATGTCAATAGCGAAGGCGAGAAAGTGCTGCGAGAGCAATCACTGAGCCCTTAGAAAAGTGAATACACCAGTCGGTCAATGTCAGTAGCTGTTGCTAAGGGTAACTATATTAAACTTTTTCATACAGCGTGATAGCTGTTGCATACATTGAGGCGTGCAAACCAATTTCGCGCAGAATTTCAAATTTTCGCTTACCAAATGCAAAGAAGTGAAGGAAAATAAAGTGATGATAAAACTTTTTGCTGCAAAAGCTATGACATGGCCGCATTGATAGTAGCGGAGTGGAGGAAATTGAAGTCTCATAATGAGAGTAGAGAAAGACAACCAGTGCTTAGTTCGGAAATTAGCTCAAAAGATACTTGGTTTGACAAGTAGTCTGGTTAATTTATTTTTGTCAGAACTACAAATAATTTTAAAGACAGAATTTTATTTAAAATGTATACAGTACTGCTTGGCTGCGTACCGGGTTATGAGGGTTATGAAAGCAATAAGAAAAAAACACGGTGGTACCAGATTTTTACATTTTGCGAAAGCTTTTTGTCGGATGGCCCAAGCACACGCAAGAGGAGAGGTATTGTAATATTTATTTTATCAAATTAATTGAATACAATTTTTTAACAGGTGGCGACCTTCCTCAAAAATATTTTCGGTAGTAAACTTTGCTAAACCTCTTCAGTTTGATACCCATATTGCAATATTCAATTTATCTTATCAATTAAATATAGTTAAAATTTTCAAACAGGTGGCAACCTTAAACAAAAATTTATGCGACTGTAAGCCTTCTTAAACCTCTTTCTTTTCGCAGCCATATTGCAATATTTCTTTTATCTTTATCTTAAAAATTAATGGCAAACTTATACTTTTTTCTTACTAACGTACTTTCCACTGGGCATTATATGACAAAATTTTACACCAAAAATACCTTTTCTGGAAATAGTCATTATGCTCGTTGCCATATGATATTTTCTTAAATTTTTTGTCATTTCACTTCCTCATGGAAATTTGACATAAACTGCGAGTAGCACCAAAATCAGAAAAGTGCGCTGTCATTTAAAGGCAGACGCATCTATGTGAACGAAGTCACCTTAAGTTTATGGTAAATGTTTCTTTGTCTAAACATGACAGGAAGAGGGTGGGATTGATTGGCGATAATGAAACTTTTTCTTCTTGTTTTGAGCCAGAGTGGATTGAAAAGGTGCATGATAAATGGTAACAAGATGACAGATAAGCTCTCAAAACCAGACTACACCCGCAGCTCACAGGATGTACGATTTCATTTACTAACTATGCAGCACCCTTTAAAGCATATTTTCCTAATTGTGCAATAGCTGCCACTTTCTCTAGATTTTCAATTTAATATACGTAGAAACATAATTGCCTCAAATAAAATTGATGCCGGAACATAATGCTTAATATCCAAAGCTTTTGAACAAAGGTAGAAAAGTTTACTGCTCTTTTGAGTCACTTTTTTCTTAAAACGGAGGTAACACACAAACCGCGCACCACTCCGTTTCCGTAGCCAACATTTCGAATAACTTGAAAGTGGATTTTACATTAAGGTCTTAGGATGAGAAGAAAAAATTAAGAAGGCTAAGTACAGCAAATGAATACAAAAAAATATATATATTTGAGAGCAGATTTAAAACTTGCAAAACTTCTTTCAAAAAAGGCACCAAATAAACAGCAAAAGCTAAGCACGTAAAAGGTGCACAACCAAATTTGAATGCTTAAAAAGTTTTTATTGCGCGCACACAACAAACAACCGGCTGGCTGGTGACCCGCTCACGCGCCGCCACTAGCCGAAACCGCAACAACAAGGCCGGATAATCAACTTGCGTTTGGTCGATAGGTAGATAAAGGTGAAAGAGAAAGCAAAAAAATATAAGAAAGCGCCAACTTTTGTAACAGGTGTCTCCCATACAGTCAAGCTAATGTCACCGAAAAGCTGCTGCTGCATGGAAAATACCATTATGCTGCTAACAAGAAGATAATGCGCGATCAAGTGGAAGAGTGCAAAAACACAGTGCTTAAAGCGCACGTAATTATGTTTGAGTGAATTTGGGGATGAATGGCGGATGAATGACCAAGATAAATGGAATGACATGAGGGATACAAAGGGCAGCCATGAACAATAAATTTTTGAAGTATTGGAACAATGGGCCTGTATGGGTGAGGCATGCTTGCACAGTCCTAAGTTACACCCTTTACTTGAATTTTCCAACAACTATGGACATTATTAGAGCTATAAAAGCGGATTCATCGTTTTAGTTCAAAACTTTTCTACCATATAGTTGTTGTTGCGTTTCTCTCACAGAGAGAAATATTTATATGTCTTTTTCTTAGTCTTTGTCTGTGGCTCAGTCTCAATCACAAACCTCTGGGTAGCATATTTTAATCATTTACTTCCAATATTATTGATGGCGATAATATAGAGAAGGAAAATGGATGAACTTCCGTTACATCGCAAGTGTCTCGTAATTTCCGCAGCAATTTTTAAACTCACTACCTCCGCTAAAGAAGTTTGGTCCTACCAACTGGGAGTACGAAGAATAACTCTTAAATATCTCTTTTCGATATTGTCTGCAGCTTGATTGGCACCTCAGCCATTTTCGTCTAATTCAGTTAAGCGTGTGTGATAAAAGAAATATTTACTATCTTTTTATGAAAATATTTTTTCTTTTTTATTTCTTGAACGCGAGAAAAATTTTAAACGGGTATAAATAAATTTGTATATAAAAAAACGTATCAGACAACAATGCGTATGTATATTTTGGCAATCGTACTCAGAGCGGAAAAATAATAATTTACTACCGCAAGCCAAACAAACAATATTTGTATCGAAAAAAACATAAAAGAAAGGCTTTACCTATAGGTGAAAAGGACTCATAATCAAGGAGAATATGCAATGAGGGTCTCGCTCGATATTTCTGGAGCCTTCAACAATGCCTCTATAGAGACGCTATTGAAGGATATCGATTATATCGACGTTAACCCAGTCATTCATAGTTGGTTCGAAAATCTTTTGAATTGCTGAATAAAATGGCTGAATAGGGTAATCGGTGATTTCTAGGAAGGCAAACCACGACATCTTTCAAGGCGGAGTTCGTTTCTCCGCATATGTGGAAACTTGTAGCTATTAAGATTGCATCTCAAGTTAGTGATATAAAAACTATAAGAAATATACTGACTGCATATGCAAATAGCCTTGCCGACGTCATCTCCGGCAGATGTTCGAATATGATGAGCGAGATATTTGAAAGTACACTTAAAGAGATTATTGTGAATCCTGATTAAACAGCCATAGCACTTTTCACAAAAAAGTAAAAAAAAATCGTATTTGGTATTCCTTCAAATTGCTTCATATACTAAACTTACCCCCGAACGAAATTTTTCGCTTTTATATTAGAGAATAAACTGGAACATAGATTTAATGTGGGTAAAAAAGTTAAGAAAGCTGGTGTGGGACTAACTTCTGCTTTCAATATTCATGGCACCCAGTATCGGAGTTTATTTACTTCGTTTTGGGATCGGAATACAGTGGAGTCGTGGTCAATGTAGTGAGGGAGTACTAACAATTTGATTAAGGAAAAACGTTCATTACCATAAGGATCTGAATGATTGCGCTTCTTAACTCTTGACAACACTAGAGTAAGTAACCTAGCCATACGCTAATACCTTTGTCTCACACTGTCCATAAAGCCTTGATTTCTGCACCCATAGTGTACTGTATAGTGTGTAAATAATAGCAAAAAATCATTAAATGCAAACAAAAACAAGTAATTTTTAAGCAAAATACAAAAAAGGACTTCAATTCCCATATAAAATTTTAAGGTTATCGTTAATTTCTTGATGATCTAATTATGGGATCTAATTAGTATGGGACCACCCTTGAGGTAGCACCTTTCCAATGAAGAAAGAATTCTCGAAATCGGTTAACGTGGTCCAAAGTTATGCGCTAACATACAGAAAAAAAAATTATTCCGACGAACTTAAAACGTCCTCTTTTTTTTTGAAGTCGCTTAAACAGTAGTATTAAAGACTTCAGAAATGTTGTCTAACAAATCTTTACAACCTTTTCACTTTGCTGTTTTCCTCCTTCCCAGACATTTCTGCGCTAAATATTTTAAAAATTTCTGAGATTTGCTGTACTTATGCATTTATGTACATCGGTGTATATGTGTGGGCAAAGAGGGTTGAAAAGGCAGTCAAAATGGAATTTTATTTGCGATTTAAAATATGTTACTCAAATAATTTTATCAACCGCCGAACAAACAAGCAAGCTGGGGGTTGATAAATATATACATGTATGTACATATGTATGTATATACATATCTCAAGGGATCTAAGAGTTAGTTTTTGATATTGTTGGGGTGGAGAAGAAAGGATTTACCTACAGGTACAAAGCGCGTTCATACATACACACATAAGGCTGTATTGGCATAACAATAAAGATACATAAAGTTTTTTATAGATTTAAATTTTTCTAGAATGGAAAGGATTAAGTAGGTTGGAAGCAGAATTTAATGTGTCATATACATATATATGCGAGTAAAAAAAGTGTTTTGAAGCTTTAACTCTGCAAATCCATTCGTCCATCCTTTCATAGTGTAACAATTTTTCCGATAATAAAAACAGTTTCACAATTCATTTCCGAGTGAATTTCGCCCCTACCAATTTGAATTCAAAGCGAGTTTGATTGAAATTCATTCGGAAATGAATTGCAGAACTTTCCTGAATATGTATTTATGGCTTTTATAAATTTCAAATTACTTAAGTAAATGGACACAAATATTCTCATAATCTCTCTTCACTTTTCAGACAAACAACAAGAGTTGGATTTACCCTCGATGCGCGGCGACGACAACCCCGACCAACTCAGCATGCTTACCCAGCATCAGCGTTGCCGTTCGCCACGTGGTGGTCCGCCCATGTCACAAATATCGGGCGTGAAACGACCACTCTCCCATACGAACTCATTCACCGGCGAACGACTGCCCACATTCGGTGTGGAAACGGTGCACGAAAATGCGCTCGGCACACTGCTCGGCGACATCGATACGTGGGGCATTGACATATTCAAGCTTGGCGATCTGAGTGCCAATCGTCCGCTCACCTGTGTGGCATACACCATATTTCAGGTAGGCTCAAACAATTGCGGTGATTGTAATTTTTAACAACTTATAAATAATCACTTTCTTTTTGTTTTCTTTGTTTCTCAAATTTTGATTGCAAACAAAACAGAGTAGGGAATTACTGACCAGTCTTATGATACCACCGAAAACTTTTATTAATTTTATGACTACTCTGGAGGATCATTATGTTAAAGACAATCCGTTTCACAATTCACTACATGCGGCCGATGTGACACAAAGTACAAATGTACTGCTCAATACACCAGCGCTGGAGGGCGTATTCACATCGTTAGAAGTGGGCGGAGCATTGTTTGCTGCTTGTATACACGATGTTGATCATCCTGGTTTAACAAATCAATTTTTAGTTAATTCAAGTGAGTGCAAAAATTATTGATTACTCTCTAATAGTATTGAGTAGGGTGGTCCTTAAAATATCAACATCCAAATTTTGTTCTACATGCATATCATAAAATTGGAAAATTTTCAACAAATTTTTAAGGGCCGCTAACAGGGTTTGAAAAAATTTAATTTTTTAAATAGCAAAAATTCTACAAAATTTTCACTTCAAATCTGATATAAATTAATTAACTCGCTGAGTTATAGCGGGCAAAGATAAAAATTTTGTAAAATTTTGAAATTTAAAAAACAAAATCAATTAGTTCACACCCTAGTAGCGCTCCCTAAAATTTTCTTTAAATTTTGAAATTTCGTGGATGTCTTTATTTAGTGTTTGGAATAAAATAGAGGAATACCTTATGTTGATGATATTTTAAGAACCGCCCCAGAATTGAGCTTGACTTAAATCAGTTGTCGTGTGTTTATTTAATCTTCAAATAGAGTAAATTATTTGTTTATTGATTTTTCTAGGTTCCGAATTAGCCTTAATGTATAATGACGAATCTGTTTTGGAAAATCATCATTTAGCAGTTGCCTTTAAATTATTACAAAATCAAGGATGTGATATATTCTGTAATATGCAAAAGTGAGTATTATGAAATTATAGCTTTTACTTCGGCATAGAACTTTAGCGCAGGTATTACGATAATACAACTAGCCTGCAAGCTTGGATTAAGAGGGCGTGTACGTGCCCAACCTTGGACTCGGAGGTATAATTGTTTATGACGAGTGTTTTCTGTATGTGTCCCAATAGCACCCAAATTCCATTGCTTTAAATCGAGGAAAGAAGTAATAATCAAGGCGTTAATCAGCTTAAACCTGTTCCTTTCCTATTTAAATTGAAAAGGTCCAAGCGTTTCACTTCAATACGTTATCTCTGACAGAATGCTAAGGAAGTCTGGCCCAGCTGTTTGGTTCGATTGCTCGGCTGGAAATCAACACAGGAAGTGGTCAGTTGATTTTTTCTCAGTCTCACTACGGTAGCGACTGGAGAGAGAACTCGTTGATATTCACAATCGCTGCAGTAAAGTTCAGTGACCTGCATTGACGTCGGTGAGAACTTTTACTTCACATCTGCTAAGTTTCAGAAGGTCTTATATCGCTTTATTTGCCTCTAACCACCGACATAATGGCCTTCAGACTTCACTTAATCTCGTTTGGTCAAGTTTTTTTGATATTTTCTCTAAACAGTAGTTTTATGGAGTTGTTCGCTGCATTTAAATACTATCGTCTCAGAGTTATAAGGGTCAATCTCATCTTTTTGCGGACGTTAAGACCTAACTTATCTGCAAGTCTTATGGATACCGATTCCTTGCTCAATTTTTGAACCAGCAGTGAAGATGAACATGCCATCATTCGCTACTGGTAGTCTTACTGGTCCCATGATTTTCTGGTCTTAAATCAGATGAACTCAGGTGCCCTTGAGTTTAAGTCTCAACGCGTTGCAATGTTGTCAGTTTTAGCTTCTTAGTAATTTTTATTTTCAATAAGCCGGTCGGGGTTCCGAAGTTTGTTGATTTATGCATTTTGGCTTTCCTAATGCGGAGGAAAATTAAAATTCAGAAAAAGAATCAGAATCAGAATCATTCTTTATTTTAAGTAAATATACAAAAAATAACAAGGTAACAGCACTAGCTCAATACCATCGGCTGAAACTTCAGAAAAAGAACAAAGAACTTTTCAACGTAATGTTTCCAACGCGAATTGCCGAAATATACATACAGTACTGGTTGTAGGCCCGGATTTTTCGCGGGTTTAGACTTTCATCTGTTCACGTACTTCCTGTGAAAATAGCTGGGCCGTAATTGTCCACCAAGCATGATATTCAACTCTCTAACCATGCAATTTATATTCAGGTGACATTAGAGTCCATAGTGTAGCTGTCTGTAAAGTATAGATAAAGCATCGTCCGCTGTGTCCTACCAGCCCCGACCGAGCAATTCCCTACTACATTGCTAATAATGTTTAATTGTCTTTGCACCAAGGACTTCATGCTGGAACGATTTCAGTGAGGTTTGCAGTGGTACACTGCATTGATCAGAATAAGCAGCTCCCAATTTCGAAAAGTGTTTCACGCTTGGGAAAGACGAAGGAGTTTCTTGTTTCTTCTCAATAATATTTCCGCAAAATAATTCCGATTTTCGTTTGTCTGTTACCTTCTGTATTTATCCCCGTAATGTTGTATTTGTTTCTCCATCCAGTTATTATAAATTCCCCTAACAGAGCTCCATGGCAGATCAATTAAGGGTCTTCGGTAGATGAATCCCGGGGTAGGCTGTTTACTGGCAAGGTTCATGCAGTGACTATGAGACCACCATGCCCGGTACCCAAATGAGGTAAAACCGGATCGAGAATGCTATGATTATTACTTAATAGTTGAAAGCATATCTACGCCGGCTTTTGTGTGAATTCGTACGCTTCCGAAGCGGGGACCCCGGCTTTAGATAAGCGGCGATTACTCTTATCCAAGAAGCGAAAATCTAATCTTTCTAGACTACAAAATAGGTTTTAAAATAAAAATAAATCCTAAAAAACAATTTTGCACTCATTTCTTGCAGGAAACAACGCCAAACATTAAGGAAGATGGTTATCGATATTGTTCTATCAACGGACATGTCTAAACACATGAGCCTACTGGCCGATTTAAAGACTATGGTCGAGACGAAGAAGGTCGCCGGTTCCGGTGTGCTATTGCTGGACAACTACACCGATCGTATACAGGTGAGAAAAAAAGTGATATTTTTACCTTAAAAAGACCAGTGTGAGCAGGTTAGTCTTTTAGAGGCTAGATTTAACAAAGTCGCAGAACTTTAGAGGTCTGACTTCGTGGCTTTTTTAGGCCTTTTTTACTTAAAATATTCAGAACAAAACTCGGACTGGAGCTAATAAAAATAAGTAGCCATACTATATATTTTTCCTTAATATCAGGCACCGTAACAGTTACAACTTTTATTAAAAAAATCGCTCTTTAACAGTTATTTTTTTAACTTTATTTGGGTGCTCCTTAAATAACCGTTATTTCTGACATTTATTTTATAGATCCAAAATAACAATTATTTTTTATTTTTGCCTAAATAATCTGCATTTCTTTTTTCAACGAGACTCCAAATTGAAAACAAAATTTTTATTTTCAATTTTTATGCAAAACTAAAAAAATAACAATTATTTTTGATTTTTAAATTATATGTCTTAGAAAACAGTTATCGAAGACATTTATTTATAAAAGTCATGAATAAAAATCAGTCACTGACCTTTGTTTTTTTAAATCATACTTATAAAAGTCATTTGTATAAGTCGTAGTAAACTTTTGTTTCCCCAACCCCTTCTTAACTGCGAAAAATGTTAATGACTTTTATACGAATGATTTCAAAAATAAAAGTCAGTGACTGATTTATATTGATGACTTTTAAAAGCAAAATTCACTGACTGATTTTTATTATTGACTTTTATAAATAAAAGTCTTCGATAACTGTTTTCTAAGACATATAATATAAAAATCAAAAATAATTGTTATTTTTTTAATTTTGCATAAAAATTGCAAATAAAAATTTATTTTCAATTTTGAGTCTCGTTGAAAAACGAAATGTTAGTTGTAGAACATTACCTTCATAGTGAATTTTTCCATGACAGTTTTCATCAATAACTGTTATGTTCGTTCCCTGCTCAATATATCACAAACTACTGTTTATCTACCGTTCAACGTTGTGACAGTACGAAGTATCTATCATTTTTCGGGAAAATACTTTCTTAGGCTAAAAAAAAATAATAATACCAAAAAAATTTTATTTCAACTATATATTTTTCTACAATTTCATTTGTTGGCGTACTACTAGTAGGGTACTCTGATGTAGAAGATATTCATATTCTATTCCCAAAATTTTTCCGTTTTTCGTATCCTAAACTGAACTGCATTTTGCATACCTTGAATTAATGTAGCCGTTACTAGCCTAATAGATGGTATTTTGTTCTTCGTTGAGAAGGATTTAACAATTTATTTAAATAAGAGCTTTTAAGAAATGAATATTTTGATATCCTTTTAAATTTATTTTTCTCAGGGTTTAACTTTTGCTGACAGTTTTTCAAAACCAATTTAGCTTCGCTTTTTGTAATCATCTGGTCACAATGAAAAAGGCTAGTACATATTTACGCAATACTTACAATAGTAGTAGAGGAGCATAACACTCCTGCTCTAACCAAGTTCTGAGCATCGTCCAACCATAACATTTTCCCCTTAGGTCCCTAGAATATGACTGGCGTATTTACAACTAGTCTTTTTGCTACGAGTATTACAACTACATAAATTTATTCATATTTCTTTTAGGTGCTCGAAAATCTGGTACATTGTGCCGATTTGAGTAATCCAACTAAACCGTTGCCATTGTACAAACGCTGGGTCAGCCTACTCATGGAGGAGTTCTTTTTGCAGGGCGATAAAGAACGTGAATCGGGCATGGATATTAGTCCCATGTGCGATCGTCATAATTCAACAATCGAAAAATCGCAGGTCGGATTTATCGATTATATTGTGCATCCATTGTGGGAGACATGGGCCGATCTGGTGCATCCAGACGCACAGGATATACTTGATACGCTTGAAGAGAATAGAGACTATTATCAGAGCATGATACCACCATCACCACCACCATCGACGGCTGACGATCAACCCTCCGACGATAAGATACGATTTCAAGTGAGTTGCTGAGACAAAATGTAGAAATGAAAATAAATCCAAAAAGACACTAACACAATTGGCTGCAGATAAAAAAAAAACAGTAGTGCGTCTCTCATCACTAAACAATTTTGTGCGATTAGCAGCTGAGAAAAGAGAAAAACAATTAGGATAGAAGTAAAGAAAGCATTTAAATAATTAGTAGATTCATAAGAATTTTAAACATAAAATAATAATTGTTCCGCTCTTACTTGGCTGAAAATCGCAACAAATGCAATTTAACTGTATTAACTTCTTCAACTCTGCATTTCAGGTGACACTTGAAGAATCCGATCAAGAGAATTTAGCCGAACTGGAAGAATGTGATGAAAGTGAACACAATAAGACGGAAGTAGCTGAGACGACGACGGCCATGGGAGAGCATAAACCGTCGGGGAGTGAAAATCAAAGTCATCACGGTGGAATGTGACGGAGAGTAGCGGGACTATGTAAGAAAATCACCGAAAAGGCGCAAAATTTTTTGCTAATACGTTAGTTGCAACAACAACTACAAACAGCTAGTGAAATAGACAAGAACAACAACAACTAAAATGCCAAAAAAAAAACTACAACAAAAAAATCAAAAAAATAATAATTTACAAAAATGCAATTTTTTTGCAACAAAAAAATAAATATTCAAAAAACTCACTCAACAAAAAACAAAATAAAATAGAAGAAAAGAATGTTAACACTAAGGACAAAATGTTTAAGGAAGGCATGAAGAATGGTGAAGAAATTATACATATACAATATATAGAAATTTCATGGTGGCATAACCAAGACAAAGAAGAAGAATAGTTAGAAAAAGAAGAAAAACAAAAACAAGCAAAAAACAGATATGTAAAAGTAAAAAGCAAAGAGTCGTAATAAGAAGAAGAAAAGGAAAGCATAATTTTACTTTAAACCTGAAAAATTGCCAAGAAAACATAGAAAGGAAAGAAAAACACACACACGCATACATACATATGTACATACATAAATACAAACAAATTCAGCACAAATGTATAACAACCAATGAAACTACCACAAAGACAGGAATGCATGCATACTTACAGATACAAACATAAACCTAAATATTTTTTTAACTAATTTTTTAAGTTGAAAAATCCATTGCAGCAGAATTTATTTCATTCATTTACAATCAATCAAGCCAAACATCTCAATTGCAGTATAGACAAAATGGCAGCAACTTTCGTGCAGATATGACAGGCACATGCCATTATGGCGACGGCAGACAAAGCAATTAAACTACATAAATGTAATAAACAACAACAAAAAGACGAAACGCAAGGTTGTAATAGAAAACTTAAATTTTTTTCATGCTAAAAATGGAAAATTGTAAAACGTAGTGACGACTGGAAGCAGCCCTAATAGCAAGCACTCTCCAACAGAACGCATACCTTGTTTGACCTTCAATTTCGAATCCTTAAAACGCAACTACGCTTAATAGTAACATACATATGTAGAGAGAATTAACAACAAAATGATTGCACAATAATATTGAAAAGAAAAAATGGCTGAAGTTTGGCAAAAATTTGACTTGACTACAAAAATTAATGCTGACTACATACATACATACGTATTTTCAAATGACTTGACGCAAGCCTAAATAATATTGGCAATATTATAAACTTAACGATAGATTTAAACGCGTAAAAATGAACGATTTGTTTAAAAAAAAAAAACTATTTTATGCTGCTCAATAAGTTTTGAATGAATGAAAAGCTGCGTTGCGAAAGGATTACGACATCGAGAGACGTGAAACAAAAAATTCAAATACACTTTTATAAAATAAATTTGATAAACAATTTTTATTTTTATTTTTTTAAGAATGCATTTTAGAAAATTTAAAACTATTATTTATTAAATTTATGAAATCTTTATACATATACTACCTACATTGTGGTTTGCATGTACACAATTGTCATTAGTAAGTTTTAAAATTGTAAAATTCAATTCTTTTTTGTACCAATTATATTTATTTTAACACGCTGAAATAATGGAAAATAGAAATTGCAAATTGAAACATGAAAAATGAAAGAAAAAATCAAGAAATACAGGATACTGAGAAAACTATCTATATGTACTCCTTTTTTAAGTACTGACAATGTCGAGAAATTTTAAAATTTTCAGGACAAAAATGCAAGCAACTTAAGTGCTTTGGCTTTGTAAAATCAAAACAAATTTAAAAAAGGCAAAGGTTATTAAAATACTACAAATTTTTGAAACTTTGTTCAGTCTATAAATACTTCCTTAAATCCTTCGTTAAGTAATTTTCTTTATGGAAAAATCGCTTTTCTTCCATTCTGGCTTAGCACTTCTGTTGATGAAATACACCTGCACATTTTAAGCTTTGCATTTGTAATGTATAGCTTTTGTAGAATTTTCAAACGCGGTTGTACGTTACAAATTTACAGAAAAAAAAACAATAACAAGAGGTTTTTGAAATCTGATTTTTTTTGCACTATTAAAGCTCAGGGCCGTTCAATTCTTAAAGTTTTAATAACTATAACTAATATCAACAAGTTTAAACTCAATTTTAAAATTATAAACATCAAAAGCTCTTTTGTAAATTAAAAGCTTTTCGAAAAAATTTAATAAACCCTTTTCGAAAGCGGAAATTTTTCGCACTATTAAAATGTCCGCCTCTGAATTTTTAAGGTTTTTAAAATGGTAATAAGTTTCACATAATTTAAGCTTAATTTTGAGCTTTTATAGAGTTTTCAGAATTATAAAAGGATTGCAGTGACTGTTAACCTAGTCTTTGTTTAAGTTAGTTAAATGTGAAGTCTGTGTAAAACTCCAAGTCCCTCCTCTTTGTATGACAACATCAAAGTGCACACCACAAATCGGAGGAGAAGTTCGGCCAAGTACTATCAATGCATGTATGTATGCGCCGAATACGTATTTGTTTTAATTAAAATATAAAGTCCGAAAAGCTGTTTCGTAGCTCGAAAGTTTTCAAAAAATGTTAAAATATACATATTAGTTTTTGAAAAGCCCTCCTAAGAATTTATAATTTAATTTCAGAAATTACTTGCTCGTATATTAAAGCTCCCAAAAAGTTAATGCTAAAAAAATGCCAGAATATTTCGCTTTTATAAACACAGGTTTTGAGAAAATGTAAAATGCCGCAGGCCTACACATAAAATAGAGAGCTTTTATTCTGTGCAAGAAAGTGCATCACTGATAATTGCATAGACCAGTGTTGGCCAGCGAAAGCTTTTATTTTGTGTCAGTCTAATGGAAATTATACAGAGAACTTTTAAAAGGCTTGGCACGCGGGCCTTTGAAGTGGTACACTGTCGAACGATTTGCGGAATTCTCAGCAGTAGAACTTACACCGAAAAGCTGAGTAGATCGGTAAATTTGGAGTAATTTCGAAGTTTAAATTTTATGAGAGTTTTAAAACTAAGAAGCCTACTTCATATATACTTACCTAAATGGATACACGTGCAGAGCTTTTATATGCTTGTATGCTTGCCAAATATTTTAAGAGGGACACGCTGCAAAAGCTTTCACTGGTCATTTAATATTGGACGGAAAGAGCTTTCATAACATGTCCGTCCGTATCAGTCACCAGTAAAACACAACCCGCGAGCTAAACTTTTTAAAGCTTTCTATAGATGTTGTTTTGGGAAGCGCATGAATAAAAAGTTTATTTTCTACTTAGGAAAACACGATAAGAATTTTTTCTGGTCATATATATAGCATTGGACAGAGAGTGCATTTACCAAAACTTTTTGTAGACTTTTTAACGAAACGCACATAGCAAAAGCTCTCTCTGGTCGTCTCAGGTCTACATAAGATCTATCTAAATTCTAGTACATGCAGTGACCAGCTCTGAAATATCACTCCTAACGTCAGGAAGCAATATAAAAAGTTTTTTTTTTGTTGTATTGAAAGCAGCGCAAAATGGAGGATCATGTGTTAAGCTAATGTTGTCAAAATAACCCCCATAACTTATCCACACAAATACAAATACATACACCCACACAAAATCCTGAAACACTAGCTGTTAAAGAATTGAAAACAAGAAGAATAAATTCAAAAAGAATAAAATTGCAAAAAATGCAAAAATGTGTGAAACATAAACTTTACAGTTTTCCGTTTAGAAGCAAAAGCAAGACTAAAAGTCGCATAGTGTTGAACTCGAATTTACTAAGAAACGGGAAAGCTAATGATTTTTTAAGAAAATAAAAATTCAAATTTACTAAGAAGATGCGAATAACAAAAAAAAAGGGAAAAGTGAACCCTACAGAAATAAGGTAGCTAAATGTGTAACTTAGAGGTTATAAATAATAGCAGATATAAAAAAATTTTAATTATTTATAAAAAAAAACCAATAAATTTAATAAATAAACCCTGAGCAAGGCTAATTATTTAGTAAATGTAAAAACATTGTAATATAAAACTTAAAAAATTAATGGAACAGACAAAAAGTGTGAAAAATCAATTTAAAAAACAAAAACTGTGAGTGAAATAAACACACTACGAGTGACAAGGAAAAAAATAATAAATAATTGATTGCGTACGAACATTTTGAAAGTATAATGTTTACAAAGAAATCGCAAGCCTACACATAGGCTGTGCGACATGCGACGTGCTGGGAGAAATTTAAAATTGGCATAGTATGCCTGCATGCTTTACTAGCGCATACTTTTAGGCGCCCATGCAATTTCTTTGTGTTCGGCGCGTAATCGAAAATGGAAAAAAGAAACACCCACCTGCTAGGCGGTGTGTTGAATTTGTAGCTTCCACACTTCCTTTCCACCTCAAAAACATAAGTCTTCGCATATATTTTTAAGTTGTAAGTTTTGATTGCTACTATGTGCTCATCGTGTGTGTAGTAAAAAATCAAAAGAGGATAACTATAAAAAGTATTTCGATGTGCAGAGAGTAAAGATTTTAGTTTTAAATCAAACTTGGCCGAAGAGTGCTTGTAAATGATGGAGTCGAAATAAGTTTTTGCTAATTTTACTAAATTTAGCTGTGTAAATTTTTTTACAATATTGTGCTTTGCGACTAATAAAAATAACGAATTATAGTTTATCTTTTTTAATTTCGTATAATATTTTTTAACGCGTAATTTTATTAAAGCAATTTAAAAAAAAAAAAGTTGACAATAGTAAATGTCCAAAATGCGAAAAGTATATAATTTTTTAACACTGTATGCATACATTTGTGCAGTAATATTATTGAACGGCCAATAGGAAACGCGCGCAAAATTATACCCTCTGAAGGAAATAATACAAATTGTGAAAAGTGCAGAGGAATATAGCAAAAATCGAAAGAAAGTCGATTTCGAAAGTAATAGGCAGCACTTTTAGTTTTGTAATTTCGCTTTTTTACCGTTAATTGCAAGCGTCATGGCTCGCACACAAAATGCAACACTGCGCCGGTACAGTAAGATGTACTGTTGCATTTTGTTTGATGGCGCCGCTTGAAAGCAACTATGTTTTAAGCTAAATTAACTCTTCTTTATTCTTCGCCCACATTTTTTATTTTGCGTTGATAAGCGTGTAAGTGCGCGTATTTATAAAAAAAAAAAACAAATATATTAACGCTTTTATGGTTCTTTGTCATATTAACACGTAATTTTAATTTTAATTGTTTAAATTTTAATTTTTGTTGACAGGGCAGGATCCCGCTCTTTAATATATGTATGTATATGTATAAATAAACAAAAAATGATTTGTTAAAAATCGCATAGAATTAAAATAAATGATTTGCTTGTTTATAAACGCTTTGCGCGAGTTGTTTTATCAAATATTTATGTTTTAAAAATTGAGTGATCTAAGAAATTTATTTTGCTGTAGACAGCAATATGCCAACTTGCAAACGAAAAAAAAAAATGATGTAGCAAAAAAGCAACAAAAGGGCAAAGCGAGCAAGCAACTAGAATACAAGAAAGCACCTTGATGGTCTAAAAATATCATATAACTAAACTAAATAATAAAACAGTGGAAAATAAAGGAACATTTTTGGAATTTAAGTTTAAGAAAAATAATTGTATGAAAAATTGTGTATGTAATATAAACACACAACGTGCATACATACATATGTACATAAAAAAACATCATGAATTCTTTAGTGACTAAGCACTAATTAATTAAATTTAATTAATTTGAATTGAATAAACTGAAAATGTAATACAAAAAATTTTGAATATCATTTTTGCTAAAAGTTTTTAAATCAACTGGAACTTTTGTACTTTCAAGCATGGTAATGTGCAAAGGCAATTTTTTATAATCTATTTAACTGGACGCAGATCAGGTAACCCTAAAAATCGTTCACTTCAAATTTTAATAAATTTCTGTTGCACGCGGGAGGGGCAAGTCCCTAGACTGGCTCAGAAAAAAATTCGTTTTTTACTGTGTCAACAGCTTCCACTGGTATTTACAGGCAGGAACCAAAACAAATCATTAGATGCCAAATCAGAACTATACAACGGTGATCCAGGGAATGACGAAGGGAGCCGCCGCACAGTAGTTTGAAACTGGAGAACTTAGTGGAAAACGGAGAAAAGCCTTAAATTTTTGGCTGAGTTGATAACGAAAAAAGTTGCACAACTAAAAATTTAAATGTTATAAAAAATTTTCAAATTTTCAATCTATCAGCCGTGAGGTAGAGCGAGAAACCATCACCAAGGTCTACTGCGGAGTCGGCCGAGGCTGCCACCTGAATGAAATCGGGTTCCATAAATTTTGGGAATGTTTGCTCGTTCGAACAAAACAATAATATAACGAAAAAAAAATTATTTTTTTAATATATTCGAATTTTTTAAATTAACCCACTGTATGGATCACCCTTTACATGCATCAATTGATGTCAAATCGACCAATGGTTAGAATCGACCTTTTTTCGATTTGGATGCATTTTGATCAGAACGTTTATTTTAGCGTGTAACGAAGTTCTGCCAAAGGAAGAAAATTATAAAATAAAAAAAATAATTTCGAAAGTTCAAATTTTCACAATTTCACAATACCCATCCGGAAATTTCAGAATCTTTTAAGATCAGTTTGAGGTATTGTATAAAAAAATTTTTGAACCAAATTTTTATAATTGCGATTTCAAATTTCATTTTTCATTTTTGTAAATAGGTTTTTTGAGATATTCAAAAAATAAACTTGCGAAATCCCGGAAATTGTGATTTTAGAATTATGAAAATCTTTAAAAAAAAAAAAATTTCCCCTTGGCACGACTTTGTTATATGATTAAAAAAAGTTCTGATCAAAATTCATCCCAATCAAAAATGGTCAAAAAAAGACAAAAGAAATATAAAAATGTTATGCTCTGATTGACTGAAAACATACCTTGACCTTAAAAACGAACTTCAAAAGTAAAATTTTTAATTTTTTTTTTGCCTGAAAACAGCAAAAGTTTTTTTTTTTGATTCTTGTGATATGGACTCCTATACGCAATAACAGCAAATGTTTTCAGTTAAAAATAATGGAAACCATTTTGAACACTCTATTTTTGGGGGTAATTTTAAAGGTCAAGGAAATTTTTTATCCACCGAGACTATTCTTCCTGAATTATCCATCTTAAAAGCTTTAAATAATGTTAAATTAATTTTGCTGTTTTCATTCTCGAGATATGATTACAAATAAAGCTCATTTTCCACGCTCAGTGCCTGTTTTTTACGTCAATACTGAGATAAATACCAATTAGGTTCCCGATCGGAGAAAAATGTGATATTGGATTCCCAGTGCAGAGGAGAATATAACCATTTATACTGTTGGTTCAAAAATGGAGCAAGGTGCCGGAGCCGGTATCTGGTCGGGGGATCTGAAGACCAACCAGTCCTTTCGTCTGCCGAACGATTGCAGTATCTGGCTCTAAGGTGATAATTAACGAGGCGGATAACTCTTTACTACCACCGTTTAGTGATAACGTCAATACGATGGCCGTATCGTCACTTTTACTGACGGTGACGATTACAGCGTTGTCTATTACCATATCATCTGATGGCTGCCCCGACATTCGGCTATACGTAACCGGACCCGGACCAGATTTATATCTGGCAAAGGATTATCATTCCAGCAACACTCCACAAAAACTGTTTGGGGGTTTTTTACGCTGTCACAACACCAACAACCGAGTCATCTGATGAGGTTGCTTATACATAGATCACTTTTATACCGCAGAGTCTGTTAACGTGCTGATATAATTTGAGGTTGATTCCCGAGCGGCCGTAACTTCTCTTGCAAGTAGTGAACGTTTAGGGAGCATTCTTGAAAGCTAAATAAGACAGCTTTTAGGTTTTTCAGCCGCAATAGTTGAGCCGATACTGTTCAACCATCCCATTACTATCGTTATTGCACTGTTTTCTCTCAATTTAATATCTGGAAGGAGGTTGTGCACAACTACTAGAATAATATCGTTCGTGTGCCCTATAATTTTCTCCCCGTTAAGGAGCGGAGGTTGAAGAACATCTTCGGACATCACATTCCATTTCAATATACATAGTTATCGTTTTATGAGACTTCATATTGCGTTGCTTCCATTTTCGTGCAACTTCTGGAAATAGACACTAAAGTAATTTTAAGCGAAAAAATGAACTAAGGAAACACTAATGCAATGGTTTGTAGTATAAAAAAAGATTGTCTCCCTATTAAAAAAACATATAAAAATAAAAAAAATAAATATGTACAATACACATGTATAATTGAGAGGGAAATATACTTATTAATATTAGTGCATACATACATACATACATACATATATATACTTGCAAAAATATACTTTTAATTTACTTACTGAATTTCAAGCTAGTGACATATGTGTATGTAGATATAAATATAGCTAAAAAATATTTAGATATTAAATAATTAAAAAATGCAAGGATGTAAGGTGTTTTGTAGTTGGTACTTACATGCATAGAAAAATACATCTAAACATAATGAGAACTATATATATGTACATACATAATAACATGCATTTTTGGCCCAAAAATGCTTATGGGAAAAAGTATTGTCTGAATTTTAATGCCATAGGATTGTTCTACACCGAAAAAATATACCGCTATTTTTTTATTCCGAAATCAAAAAACATGTAGAGGTCGCTCAAAGCGCTCATAGGTATCCAGGTATTTTATATGGGAAGAAACAACTTTTCGTAGAAATGGTTTAGAATTCTTGCAAATCTATATTTTTCGATCGGAAACCTCTCTTTCCTTTCAGGAGACTCCCAATAATAATACCCAATTATTTGTGTAACCATTTTTTCTTAGTGACTGTATTTTATAAATCCAAAAAACTCTTAAAATGCAATAGGGAGACCCATACATAAAAAGATCATTAGTATGAAAAAATTTTTAAATCGGCAATTGCGTATTGTTATTGGAAGCCTCCTGAAGAGAACCAGAGTTTTCCGATCAAAAATATTGATTTTTAAGAATTCTATACTATTTCTACAAAAAGTGTTTTTTCCTATATAAAATACATGGAAAACTATGACCGCTATTTTTTGATTTCAAAATAAAAAAGCGGTATATTTTTCGGTATAGAATAATCCTAGGGGGCGAGAACATTACAAATTTTTTTACCCCCCCTAGTGTACATTATTTCAACTAAATACATAAGTAGCACATATTTATATGTATAGGGGTCAATCCTCTAATGGTTGGAGTAGACCATTTTTGATTTGAATGAATTTTAGTCAGAACTTTTCTTTTATGATATAACGAAGTTCTGTCTTTTTACGATTCCATATGTTGCCCGACTTTGCTTATGGTCTCGTTTTAAAGGTCATACATATTTGGGGCTACATAATTGTAAAAGCAAAAACTTATAAAAATGTTTGGTTCTACTTTTTTATATGTATGTACAATACTTATAACACCGTGGAACAAAAATTAACTTAAAGAAAAAAATTGTTGCAAACTCTAAATAAAAAATAAATTAGAATTTAGCTAAAATTCTTTAACATAACTTTATGTAAAGTTTAGTTACAAAGTAGTTCTTTCTTCAAAGTTCAAAATTCTTCTTCAAAATGAGTAGATATCTTTAAATCAAAAGACCTTTTCGAAAATTTCAGGATCGCTTAAGTTCAGTTAGAGGTGTTGGACCCTATGAATAAATACTAAGCAATTATTTTTTCTTAAAATTGCAGACTTTTCACTCGATTTATTGAAATAAATTTAAGTAAAAGGTATGACATTTTAAGAAAAAGCAATTGCTTAATTTTTATTCATAAAAAAATTTGCCTAACTCGATCTCCTCAGTGTAGACTCCCGCCCTTGCACAAGACCCGTTACGCTAAGAGTCAGGAAGTTAGAGAGTAAAAACGCTCCGCAAAAACTTGCTCGCTCAATTTTACTGAGGAAACCTGAGGAAAAAAATTATATTTTCAACAAATACGAGTATATTCCACTTTTGGCTCAAATTTCAATATGTAAGTAGAAAAACGCAGACGCTGTAGAGCCTGTATTGTATTCGGCAAAGTTTGTCAGGTAGGTAGGTTCATGAATTTTTTTTTTTTTTTAATTTGTTGGCCTGTGTAATTTAAGATTTAAATTTGACCTACATATGGCTTCATAGTTCTGCATGCGAGTCTAAATAAATCCTACATACTTGTACTTACTGCATATAATTGTAGGTGCATTTGAAACATAATACATACATATGTACATATATGTCTATAAAGTCAACAATAACTTAAAAATAGTTCACTTATTTCCAGCATACAGTGAAACATACATACATGTGCACATTAGGGTGCCTCGCCAAAAAAAGTCGCGGTTTTTCACCGGAAATATAAAATGTATGATATTTGAAGAATTTCACCAAAATATTTCTGGACCGATTTTATAATACATACCTCGAAAAATCTTATTATTTGGATTACTTTG